GACTCGACGGCACATAACAACAACAACAACATGTATTTAGGCTCTGATCAGAAGGACGTGATTTTTACAGAACAACCCGTAAAACAGTATCAGTTATTGGTACCATTTTTCTAATGGTCTTGATGCTATCAAGAAATGATGTACAACCTATGAGTGACATGCAGGGTTAGCATGTTGTCTCACATATCTTACGATGAAGCAGTATATAGGCCAAGCTGAAACAGTAGCACCAATGTCAGCTTGTGAGTCTGGACATGAGCACTTCTCAAATTCAAATTTTTGTCCAGTGACTGGCTCACCTACGCCAGTTTAGAGTGATGGATTTGTACAACTATAGTCTGTTTCATCTGTTGGTTCTATTGTGTATTTCATATCATGTATCAACTGACTTCTGGCTTTCACAACTCATTCATCAGGCTACAAAAACTGGTTTTATACTACAACTTAAGATCAAAGACTCTGTTTTAGGACAAAAATGAGAATGATTATATAGGACACCGCCTCAGAAACCCAAAGAGGGGTTGCTATGTGTCAGGGCTGACTCGACGGCATACAACAACAATGACAATAGGCAATCATCTATTTTGACATTTTATAAATTCAATGTTTCTAGGGCGATTGGCAGTTGCAAAAAGCAAATGTTTATAAAAACAGCTACAGGAGAAAAATCAGCTAACATATTTGTGATCCAAATTATGTTTAAGACACCATAGAAGAATATTAAGAAAGAGTTCCTGTCCTCAATAGAATTTAAAATAATCCTTAATATTATGAAATATATTAAAGATATTTTATGCTAGCTAATTATTGGTATTTATTTACCTGCTTACTTAAACGTTGCTCATTTAAGGGGCTCTGTCCAGACTTGAATTCAGAAAGATCTTGGTGTGGTTTTTCATTATGAATTCTTCCCTGAAACTTGCTTCTGAATCTTGGGTTTCCTTTGAAAAATAATTATTTTCTGTATTTGAAATCACTAATTTCAACATATCTTTCAGAAGTATTATCTATGATGTCATTCTTTTTAAGCTATGCATTAGGTTTTGTAATACTTTTGATATTTCATTACTCTGATATCATCTGGGAATGTTACTGAATCCTAGAACAATCTTTGCCATACCATTTCTCTGCATACCTTAATATGGTAGTCTTCTCTATATAAACAATCCCTCAAATTCGGTTTCATATGTTACTAAAGTTGGGAAATATAATCTGAAATTAACTGAAAGAATGCTTGAATAGAAAAAGGAGTGCTGGAGAGAAATTGCTTTGTATTAATCATATAAGTATTTGCCTCAGTTGTCTGCTTTCTTTGGGTGTAAAAACAGCTTAAGAAACTATCAAAGAATATGGATCTCCAAAAGATCAATTTTATGCTTAATTAAGAACTTGAGAATGGTTCACTGCACCATTCTTAGCTGCTTTGTCCCCAAAATAATCACCATCCCCCCTTTTCTCAGGGCAAGCTAAGCTACTGTACGTTTCAAACAAGGACTAGTAATGAATAATGAAGCTGGGTAGGCAACCAGCAGGGGTAGAGTATGCACAATGGTAGGGTGGTTCCAACCTGCTGGCTAAAGCAAAGAGATCTTTAATTGTTTAAAAAAAAACTTCTCTACTGTGACAATCTGCAGTGCATTCATATGTGGACTTAGACTGACTGATGTGGTGAGGAATACAAAGGGCATTTTTCCTGTTCTCCCCCACTCCCTTTGCCCTTCAATATTCATTTTTTCTAAATATTTTTGATGCCCTGGTGCCCAGATTATTGATAATGCCTTCCTGCATTGCCTCCTAAAACTGGAATTGAACCAACCAGCCAGGCTTGTAAACAAGTACAAAACATTTCTCAAAACTTGCCCTCCTGTAGGGAAGTAACTCATACATTTTTAAAGATTATTTTTTTCATTTAATATGGCATATTTTGTCACCTACTTTGTATAAATTCAGTTCCAAGAAAAATAGAGCAACTAAATGCAACTTTAGAACAACATTGCCAATTCTTGAATTTGCTCACCTAGTTACAAATATTTCAGACTCCTTTTTTTTTTTTTACACCACATATGATTTTCAATATACTTTACCTCTCTGCCAACGACGACGACGAGCATTTGATCTCCTTGACTTGAACCTCCTTTTTCTACGGTTCTTTGTTCTAGTCTTAGTCTTTTTTTGTCCAGTGCTTGTGTCTTTTGTCTTTCTAACGATTATTATGTCATCTGTATTAGAAAACACATAACAAAGAGAATGGAAAAAAGTCAAACAACAACAATGTGTCTCTATTGAATAATCTATATTCTACCTCATCATATATCAGAACATTTTTAAAACAATTGATGTTGTTGTTGTGTGCCACCGAGTTGTCTCCAACTCACAGCGACCCCTCCTTGGATTTCCAAGTTGGTATCACTACAGAAGTAGATTGTGCAACTTTCCTTCTGAGGAGTGGCTGGTGGGTTTGAACCACCAGCCTTCTGGTTAGCAGTCAAGTGCCTTAGGCACTGAAAAATGGTAACACTATTTTGATATTGAACTTGTAAAACTATAACAAAGTTCAAACAATATCAACATTTTAGGGTTAGTTTTATGAAAAAAAGAAGAGAAAAAATCCAATTAAACAAATTTATGGTAACTTCAATCAGGCAAAAATAAAATACTTTCAGACTAAAGTAGTTCAAAGAGAACCTATATGAGACCAACTGGTCAAGAATTACTTTAAAGCAAAGATGAGAATGTAAGGGGTCAGGGAAACTAGGTTAATGGAAATTGAACAGCCAGAACAGAAGTAATGAGAACGTTCATGCATTGTGAAGAATGTAACCAATGTCACCGAATAATTTGTGAAGAAATTGTTGAGTGGGAACCTAAACTGTTGTGTAAACTTTCATAGAAAACACAATGAAATATTGCTTTAAAAAAATAGTTCGAAAAGAGATCATTTAAATAAACTATTTCACTGAATAATATTTCAGTTTCAGAGCAATAGATTGCAGTAGTGTTATCACTGGTTAAATGTGAATGCTAGACAATCAGTTGCATTTACTTTCTTGAAAAGCAGAAAATAAACATAAATATAAGACATCAACATGAGATACCACAGAGGTGAAGTGCCAGGCTTTTTGTAGTAGCAGGAAGCAATCAGGCTTTACTTGATCATAAGGCATGTCCTACATAAGGCAGAGAGCACTTACATGGGATGATTTGCTGTATTAGAGACAGGTACAATCTGTTCTAAAATATCTCACCTAACACTTGAGATAGGTCTGAAGGTAGGACATTCTATCTGTGGATCAAAGCTTACTTTTGTTGTTGTTGTTGTTTGCCATTGAGTCAGACTCAACTCATAGCAACCCCTCCTTGGGTTTCCAAGGCGTTATCACTACAGAAGTAGATTGCCCAACCTTCCTTCCGAGGAGTGGCTGGTGGGTTTGAACCACCAGCCTTCTGGTTAGCAGTCAAGTGTCTTAGGCACTACGCTACCAGAGTTCCTTTATGAAAGTAGATTGTCCAATCTTCCTTCTGGAAAGGCTAGTGAATTTGAACCACCAACCTTCTGGTTAGCAGTCAAATGCCTTAGGCACTACGCCACCAGAGCTCAAAGCTTACTTAGGTCAAGGTTATCTTTAGAAATAAGCACAGGATAGGCATGTGGGAGGAGCTAGAGATACAGAAGTAAGAGCAGGAGCTGAAGAGGATAATAAAAGGAAAACAGGATGGTACCATCAGTATTTTGCTCAGTACTAAGCAAAGAAGAAAGCAGATTCAGAAAGGTTACATAACTTACTAGAGAGCACAAAATGAATTATGCTAAGCGGTTGGGAAAGATTCTAAGGTCAAGATAGTGGCTACTATATTACATTTCCTTCTTGAACAGCTCTGCTGTCCCGAGAACAGTACAATAACTCCTAGGCTAGTGACCAGTTATTTGAATGTGGCATTCCTATTAAAGCAGTATTTTCTAATCTATATGAGGAAAACTGTAAAACTCTGATGAAAGAAATCAAAGAAGATCTAAATAAAGGGAGAGATAGATAGGAAGACTTACATTATTAAGATACCAATTCTTTCCAATTTGATCTATAGATTCAATGCAATCTCAATCAAAATCCCAGCAAATTACTTTGTGGATATTGACAAACTAATTATAAAGTTTATATGGAAAGATAAGAGACCAAGAATAACAGACACAATTAAAAAAAAAAAAACTCACTGCCGTCAAGTCAGATTCGACTCATAGCAACCCCACCTTGGGTTTCCAAGGTGGTATCTCTACGGAAGTAGATTGCCCAACCTTCCTTCCGAAGAGTGGCTGTGAGTTTGAACCTCCAACCTTCTGGTTGGCAGTCAAATGCCTTAGGCACTACACCACCAGAGCTCCTAACAAACCCAATAGTGAAGATATTTTATATCTCTTCAAGATATAAAAAGAACTCTTGCTGTTAACACTTAACAATATGAAAACAAACAACCCAGCTATAAAAAAGCAAAGGATCTCAACTGAAACCTCACCAAAGAAGATATACAGATGGCAATAAGCATATGTAAAAATGCTCAACATTATATGTCATTTTAAAAAAAGAAGAAGAAGAAGAGAAAACACAAAACAGTTGCCAGCAAGATGATTCCGACTCATAGTGACACCATAGTTTTACAGTAAAGTAGGGTTTTGAATGGCTGTAACTTTATGGAAATAGATCACTAGGCCTCTCTTCCAAGGCACATCTGGGCGGCTGTGAACTGCCCACCTCTGGGTTAGTAGCTGAGTGCTTAACTGCCTGTGCCCCATCCAGGGACTCCTTTATATGTCAGTAAGAAATTGCAAATCATCCCTTTGTCTACCTTATCCATGCTGTATATGCTACCTGCTCTTCAGTCATTTAGTAGTGGTTTCCGTTATCAGATCAACTGTTGTAGTATCACAGTGCTTGTGTTCAAGTGACCCTTATTTTACTTAATAACTGTTCCATTTTATTATTAGTTATTTTTGTTAATTTCTGAGTGTGCCTAATTTATAAAGTAAACTTTGTCACAGGTATCTACATATAGGAAAAAACAGTAAATATAGGGTTCGGTAGTATCCTCAGTTTCAGGCATCCACTGGGGGTCTTGGAATGTATCCCCCATGGATAAGGAGGGACTACTGTAGCTACATAATGGAATATTCCAACTATATTCTCAGACTTGGAAATACATTATTGCATAAAACGTTATTATAAATGGTTACTTCTATTTGAATATTGATATTACAGCTTTGCTATATGTGCATCAAATAGGCTTTTGTGCATTGTTCTGGAAACCTACTCACCCTTTATAATATTATTTCTATGAAGGAAAATTCTGTATGCATTTCCAACAGCTGGCATACAATGAGGTCTTGGAACATAACACGTTTGCCAGCTGGGAATTGCCTGTATATGATTAAGTATCAACTGAATGACAGAGATAATAAGTGCTCTAGGACTGCATAGAAAAAAGAGACCACTGTGCACTGGAACAGCTGCAAAATCCTTGTGGCAGAGGTGGGTAGGATTTGAGTAAGGAAATTATCAAGAAAGAGAAACAATACAATTAAAGCTACAAGGCAGGAATTAGTATAGTATGTTCAATACTTTCAATTGCCTCATATGTATGTAAAAGCTAGACAGTGAAAAAGGAAGACTGAAGATGAATTGATGCATTTGGATTATGGTGTTAGCAAAGAATATTGAATATATTCAGTGAAACCTGTGACAGCCAGAACTCAACAGGGCAGCTTTATCTTTCCAGGTTTCAAAAGTTTTCTGCCTTTGACCGAGTCTTACACTTTTTTATTGCTCTTTATTAGTGGAAAATATTTGAGTTTTCCTTCTCTGACAGGTTTCTGCCTTACACAGGTTCTGGCTTTCACATGTTTTACTGTACCATGTAAACTATAAGAAAAATGAACAAATTTCTCTTGGAA